TATTCAGTAAATATATCATTCACGGAAGAACCTGTGGAAGAAACGAGCGGCAGTCGGTGTAGCCCAAACGCCTATTAATAGACCGGCTATTACTTGTACGTGAAAGTTGCGGTCGAGACACCACAAAAGGAAATTACACGCCATCTTAATCTGCTTCCACGTGGCTGCCGTTCACTTCTGATCTAATACAATGACCATAAACCTGAGCAAAACCCGCAGCAGCGCAGCAGTGAATGAACGCCGCCGCTGAGAGGAAACAGTCCATCGCCCGTCCGTCCGACCGGCTGTGGATCAGGCGCAGTCTCCAGCGCAAGGCCGAACACTCTCTCAAAGAGCGCCGGCGGGAGGAGAGGAGAGGAGAGGGTGGGCGGGCGAGTGGGCGAGTGAGAGGGGGAGGGGACAGTGCAGCCCGCAGCAGGTTCCTACAACGGACACATCCCAGTGAGCGCGCGAGTGAGTTCTCGGCAGCTGTTGCAGGAGGAGGGGGGGGGAAGGGGAGGGCGCTCTCTCGGAGAGAAGTGTGCCGCTCATTGAGAACGTGTCGGGTGGGTTATTGACTCGGAGGCGGTGGCGACGGAGGCGGCGGTGTGGGCTTGCGTAAGCGCCTCGGGCGGTGAGGGGGAGTACGCCCCAGGCCGCCGCCGCCGCCGCCGCCGCCGCCGCTCCCCAACCTTGCCTCCGAGACGGTTCCTAGAGTTACCGTGGACCGCAGTGTTGACTCGTTTCGTTTTGGGAGAAACGAAATTACGAAGAAAAGACGAGCGGCCTTGAAAGGTGTACAGACGTGAAGCAAGGGGGTTGTGGTTGCCGATGCGAATTTCAAAGATCTGCATTGTGGATTCCCTACGGAAGCTGAGCGTTAATTGCGCTCAGGATTAATTTATTACCCTGCCTTTACTTACGAAAGTGGTGAGTTTTTTTTTTAATTTCCGTGAAAAATTGTGGGAGATATGATAGGAACATTCACACGCGTAGTAGGAAAATGTGATGTTCAATTTGTCTTGGAAGGTACTAGAAAGGAAATGTGCTAACGTGATAAAAGCGTTTAGAATAAGTAAACCATTACGTAAAATTGTAAAATGTCTTCGTTTGCCGAAATCGCTGCATTCGTTGACACTATTCTACGAAATCTGAATCGTCTAAGATCGTGAGAAGTAAATAATCATCCTCCACAGCTTTTCACAATCTGTCCTAGTATGTGAAATGCCTTGACAGTTTATAATTGAATTGCCTCAATTAAACGGTTTTGTCGGGAAACGAGCAGTTATCACCGGAGCAATAAAGAGCCCGCAAGGTCCATACATCCCGTAGAACACACCAACACTGCCTCCTGGGAGAACCTACTCCTCCCGTAAAAGGCGAGCGAATGGCTGCTATTAGCTGCTGAACTAGGAAAGCAGTCGTGGCGAGAGGTTGAACCGCAGCTGGGTTTGGCTTCTGTGAACGGCGGTGGCGGCGGCGGCGGTTGGTGGTGGCGGTGGCTCGTTGGAACCGCGATGCGATGCGATGGCGGGGGCGGCGGGGGCCGTGGCGGGCTCCTTTCGCTGCAAGCGCACGTAACAGCCGTTCGCCGCCGCGTCGACGTTGAAAAAGCGCGAAAAAACTCGGCCGACGCCGCGGGCGGCGGCGACCGCCTCTCGCGAATTAAGTATTGTGCGACGCCTGGGCTCTTCGGCGAGCCATCGTGTCCCGCCCGAGTCGCGGACTTCGCTAATACGCCGTTCGCACAGCTCCTGGTTTCGCTGCTGCGTTTCTTTGTGGGGCTGCGTCGAGATGTGGTGTTGTGAATTATAGTAATGCTTTTAGTGACGTGTGAGGGGGGGGAATACGTTTTTAGAGAACTTATTCATACTTTACACTTTACAGTATTATAATTATTTCTATTAGTCTTATTTTTATTTTATCACTTCTTGTTATGGTTGGTAATGAAGGGTCAGATATATTAGGACAACTGTTCACTGCTCCCATTCCATTGTCTTTGATTGGGAGGTTCTAGAGTTCATTTTTTCGACACTAGTTACATAGCTAGAGTGAATTCAGTCACTGCGTGAAGAATAATCGTGTCTCTGTGTGCTGGCAATTTTCTGTAATTTATCAGGTCAATGGCGGGTGAATGCTGAAGCAATATTTTAATAAATGGGTCACTTACCGCGCGTGATCTTTTTGTTATTATCCTTGTTCTTTCTTAAAACGCACAATTTACATGTAGTTCCCTACTACACTGTCCAGAGACTACTCGAGAGCTTCCCCGGCTGGGAGGGGAGTCTCGCTGGGAGTTACTAGAGGTGCTAGCCAACGTGTGGGCCGACCACTGATCTCACCATCTTTCGGAGACATTGACATCTCCTACAATGTCAAATGCACTAAAATTATGGGACTAGTTGATGCCATCGGAAGAACGAAATAATTAAATAATTATTAATCTCTAAATTCACTACTGAATATGGTAGGAGTCAGTTATGAATAAAATCTACCCCAGGTTGCATCTACCATCCTAAAGAGCAAAGAAGTTAGAGATTTCCGGCAATTATTTGACTTGGTGCTTGTCACTTGAATTTGTTGAGACATTAATCATTTTTACAACTGAACATTTATTGAAGAGTTGGAACAAGCAGTGTGTTACGGGGCAAACGAATAAATATATTTTTTAACAACGCTCAATCATTTTGCTTTATAAAAGTACAAGAGGACTCAATTTTTCACAAGGGATATATTGAAGTTTTCTCTTCTATACCCTAATATTTTGACATAACATTTTACGACTTTCATTTTAACGTTATTTTAACACCATTTGAAATCAAAGAGCTCTTATATGCCAGTGCGGAAACACACAATCTAAAATTTTAACATAATTTAATAAAATTTGATGGTTCTATTGCCTCTATTGTTACTGGACAATAAAACTGTTTCCTGCATTTCAGTCGTAAGTGATACGACAAACTGAATTGAATTCACTGTTGCAAAGGAAAATGACTGATGCCAATACTCACAGAAAAAAAGAAATCTAATAAATTTCTTAAGTATTTGCATTACCATTAAACTACTCTTCAAATTCTTTCGTGTATCTGTCAAATTAACTTAACTGCCTTACGGAATAAGTTGAAGACGTAAAATTATGATTGAAGAGTTGAGAGGTTGTACTTTTGTGTTACGGAATGATATGATGTGTAAACACATACCAATACCAAACGTCACTTTGCAAACGTCTCTTAACACGTCGTAGAGGTAGAAAAAATTATATCTTAAAGTATGTATCCATTAATTGGGAAGAAATTCCGGCACGCATACTGATATACCCAAATTCTATGTTCCATAGTGTGATTTCAATACTACTACAATTTTACCAGGAGTTATTTGTTTACTAAAAACTAAGATTATACACGTGTTGCTTTGTTTAGTTAACTTTTAATTATGTTTTTTGGAACTATTCTAAATTTATTCCAATTTTTATAGGGTTAAGATTGCCAAAAAGGCTGTAAATAAATATAGAATATAAATACTTCCAATCACACTACATACTTTGTAATTGGTGCATAGTTAATAAAATAGATCATACCTTTAAGTGGTAAGGTTGATAGTACCGTTTAGAAAAAACTAAGAGGATCTTTAAATTTTGAAAATTTCCTATATTCACGTGATCTTTTCCTTGTAAAAACAACCATCACGTGATGCAAGAAAAAAGAACAGCTCTGCCTGTACGCAATCTTCATTTTCTCTCACCAGTTTCTGGCCCGTCTTTGGTTAAATAGTTTCTCATTTCTAATTGCAGAACGTGGGTAATTACAGTTCAAACACCCCTGCTATTACCACATCAGAAGTGTATTGGTAAAATGATATTTATATTACCTAGAGGTTTAGGAAACAAATATATCGAGATGAAAAAACGTTGCGTGTTCAGAGTAGTTTACTGAAATACTTCCCAAGATTTACGAGCACGGTGAACCATTGAGTTAAGCACATCGCGGAGTATTTTCTGAGAAAGGTAGGAAAGTTTAGTATTGCGCTTATTCACTAAGACTCCACTTCAGTAGCATGTTCATTATCTTTGATCGTTAATTTACTTACCGTGCGTTAGAAAGTGGAACGCAAGAAAACAAACCCAGAATTTCTCAATTTCCTGCTGACACCCATACGTACGAAAAACGAACTGGCACGTGATAGGCGAACCTTTCTCTAGACAATCAAATTGAGGAATAGTCTTCCTGGTGCATGGTCTTCCCCGCAAAATGGCCGCCATTGCAATTAATTAAGCTGCTTGAACGCCACGATTCGCTATGGCCTTCGCTGATGGAGGAAACCTGATGTCAGGTGCCGACTAATGGACAGATGGTTAATCGACTAGAACCGCTTCTTTGCTCCGCCACAATTGCCTCCTAGACATAATTACTCCTCTTCGCCATATGTCTCGAGTCCTACATCTTTTATGGAGTTAACTTTTTTTCACCTTGGAAACAAACTGCCACAACTCGATGCATTCATTTTTTCTGAAACCTCAATGCAATGAACCTACGCAACAGCATGCACATCTTTGCATTTCACTAGTCCTATATACTACCACCGTACTGACATAATGCGTTTCTTTTGTATTTTATATCAGTTGAACGTGCTAATAAAACAAATAGCCTGTAACAAAATAAACGAAGTATTAATATAATGTTTCATAAAGGTTAAATTGCATTAAAATAGCATTGTTGGTGCTTTTAACATCATTCGATATTTGAGGTATTCCACCCTCAAGTACAGATATTTCTACTGTTCTACATTTTAATGACTTTATAAGAAATTCCTTACAAAATGTACTTGAATAAATATCAATGATTATTATTGGTGGAGCTAGTATACAGAATGTTTAACATCTTCATAAATTGCACGACGTGTACACATTTATTACAAAGTGAACTAAATAATTAAAGTTCTCCGAAAAAAACCAATAAAATCCTTCAATACACAGATTTCAAAAACTTGTTGAGTAAGTTCGATAATCTTGGACGTGCTGGAAGAAAGCCCTACTTTATATCAACGCACTTGTTTTGTTTCAGGTCATCGGCCACGTGAGTGGAGGTCACATCAACCCTGCAGTGACGTGCGGTCTGGTTGTCGCTGGGCACGTGTCCATCCTTAAGGGCCTCTTCTACATCGTGGTTCAGTGCATAGGCGCCGTGGTGGGGGCTGCGGCGTTGCAGGTAACTAAATCGCTGCTCTCAATCTGTACCACTTTGTATTGGAGAACTTTAAACGTGCAATAGTGTCTCGAAGTATAACTATAGTCTGGTCATCGAATGAAATGTGAATAATTAGCTAGATCAGAACTGCTTCGTTTGACGAGCTTGTCTTCAGTGCTTATCTACGGGACACTTATGCGACTCAATGCTTTTAGAGTTCGGGCACTATCGGCTCTTGTCTAGTTGAAAGCGAGCTGTTCGCCGAACATTTCTGCGGGCTAACCAAAATTCTTGAATTTGGAGCAAACTTGAGGTAGAACAATCTAGATCTGCTGTTTCTAACCAGAAGTCTGCGAAATATCTGAAGTCTCTGAAGTAGTTTTCCGGTTTTGCAAAGAAATTCCAATGTTATTGAAGTTCATGGACATCTTTATTAATTTTCAAGAGAAATCTTTAAACTTTTATAACTTGAAATAACTTACTGCGACAGACTTCACTGAGAATTGCAATATAAGCAGGTTTCTCAAAGCAACTATTGGCTTAGTTATTTAAATAATCCTTCCAAGAGAAGGCTATTTTTGATATTTTAAATTGTATTTTTTTATGATGGCCGCGAAGTGTAGCTTGATTATTTCACAATTTCAAAACTTTAATTGCGTTCATGTCATATGCGTATCAAATTTGCTAAAAATTATTATTATTATTATTATTATTATTATTATTATTATTATTATTATTATTATTATTATTATCACACTTGAATTACATTAAGTGACGCGGGACGACTTACATCGTAGTCGCGCTCAAATCTGAAAGAGTGGTATTAAGGAACCGACAAATGTAATTTGCACTCATCAGAGAAACAATAGTTTTTTTCGTCATTACTATTTTCTTTTCCGTAAATGCGTGAATTAGTTAAGGAAACTGAACACTTCGGGAAACTGTGTCACATTGTTTTGAAGCTTGTTATTAATACCGGATTTAAAAATGTATATACATCTGGATTACACGGGACTCTTTTACCCAAAATGCAGGCTTAGACAGTTTTTAATGAGAAAGAAAACCTGAGACTTATTGTATATCCTGACCTTCCAATTTTTAAACCTTTTAACAAAACTAGTGTTGTTGCTCCAACTGAGTAGGCAATTTGCCGAACAAGTATGTAATGGGTGTTGCATCACCAGGGGCCAACACTCTTCAATATAAATTATTTTTATGTGGCGTTGCCGGTTGTGATTTGTGTAAGGTTTCTTCACTGCTAAGGAAGTTCATCCAAGTTTTCACGATTGTGATATAACAATTACATAAATTGTTCTGTATAATCAGGTTTTATTGATACACTATTTTAGCTGTATATTTTGATGGTTTTAAAGGAGTGTCAGTTTAGCAGGTACAAATCGTTCTCAGACCTAAGCGCCTGACCGGAAGCGGCCGGTTGAAGAGGGAGCGCTAGCTTGTGTAACAGTTTTGTGTGTGTGTGTGTGTGTGGTGGGCAGGGTCTGGTGCCGTCCGAGGCGCGCGGGTCGCTGGGCATGACGAAGGTGGAGGAGAGCCTGCTGCCGCTGCAGGGCTTCGCCATCGAGCTGTTCATCACGTCCGTGCTGGTGGCCGTGGTGTGCGCCGCCTGCGACGACCGCCGCTCCGACCTCAAGGGCTCCATGCCGCTTGCCATCGGCCTCTCTATCACAGCCTGCCACCTGGGCGCGGTGCGTACTACCACCCTCCCCTTTCATCCATCCCTCCATCCACCCGCTCCTCCCGTCCCCCACATCCATCCACCCACCCACCTGCCCACCCACTTTTAGTGCTAAACGATTTTGAAGCTAAATTATGAATCGAATCCCATATTTCTTAAGGAATTTAATATATTTTTATTTTTAAATTTAATAATATTTGCTCAATTGAAATCTGTCCAGCACGAATGCAAAAACTTGCTTATGTTTTGTTTAGGATGTCTGTCTATTAAAGAGGTAGGACTTCTGCAAAAGGTGCAAATGTGAATTGACGAGAAATGTGGTTACACACTGTGTGTAAACAGGGCGTTAGAGCATTAACTTAACAATAAAGCTACAAAGTAGGTCTTTGCTGTTGTTTACGAAATGCGTATCATACGATATTACAAAAAGAATATCGAACACAGTTTTAATACAAATCTAAAATTTTCAGTGTCATAAGATTTGTCGTTCAAATTTGTCAACTCACATTCAATTTACAAAGGTTGACAATGTTGTTGACAAGTTACAAATTTATTTTTCTATTATTTACATTGCATTTTTATGTTGGATTAGGACATTTCTGTTCTAGAACTATTAAGACATTATTCTTTCTTTTGAAAATATTTATCCTAAGATAACCGGAGCGATAAATAATAAAACTTGCAATCATGTGTAAACATGAAGTTATACTTTTTATATGGAAATGATATAGCAATAAATGCAGATCATTGCGGGGTAAAAGTTCACATTGTTATGAGCTCAAAAAAGTCACTAATATATTTTTTGCACAAACATTTGTGACTGAAGTTCGCAAATTATTACTTAGAGAAGAGGCATTCTTAGAATCCTTTAAGTCTTAGAAGTCCTCTCTGACGAAAGAAATGAAGTTCCTCAAACTTCCACAGTAGGACCAAAGGCACTAGGTTCAACCAATGGTTTCGGATTGTGAAGGTTTGGTAACGTGAAACATTGCGATTTTACTATTGTTATAAATGAACTGTCGTAGTTAAATTTAGAGGATATTTCGTTGTTATTAATAGGTTTCAGTAAATAAGATCTCAAATTATTTTTCATATAGTTTTAGTTTTTAGCATTATCACAGAGTTCCTTTTCCGGCCTAGACAGTGACCTTTCACGGCGTGGCCAGTGGTTTAAGGTTATTCATTTTATAATGGTCTGGTATACAACCTAATCGTGTAAAAAAATAATTAAAAAAATCCTCCTCGTGAGTTCTAGATGACAAAGAAATAACTCAAATTTAATTGATTTTTCTTTATCTAAATTCCATGATGGGAACGGAGAAATTGTGGTAATAAAGAATTAGTACAGATCCAAAGTATGCCCACCTTTGTGATGGATATATCATGGATCATAGCTGATATTTTCTCTTGAACATTAAATTTTGTATTATTTTGAAATTCTTCACATAAAGGTTGTATTGGTTTTACAAATGTCAGTAATATAATTATTTGCATTTTGCGTTGAGATTTTCATGTGCGCTTTAATCGAAAAATGTAATTACTCTATTAACATTCTAATAGTTTCTTTATATAATTTATTATAAGTTTTTGAGTGGTTTTTGAAATACTTTTCGTAAGTTTCCGAATTAATCGAATTGAAATATACTCCATACAAAGATTAGTTCTGCAAACAAACAATGCAAAATATCTCCAAAACTCGTTCAGAAACTTGCAACTGCTACATAGCGATTTTCCCGCCAGGAAATCAAATTTTGGATGAAAATACAGAATTTTGTAGATTATGCTGTAATGAAATGCACACTTACTATGGTGTTCTATTCAGACTTGAAACGGTCGTTCCCAGACATTTAAAACGGTTAATTTTCATATTAAGGCACGAGAGAAAAAAATCTGGACTTTATATATTTTTAGAATTTTAGCTTCTCAGAACAGACGTTCAGAACCCGTAGAATCGCAAAATCCACGTAAAATTAAATAAACTGTGATGCAGACATCTATTGAACAAGTTTATCATGCTGTTAATTAATGATTTGGATTAAAACACTGTATTTACCTTCATGCATCACTGGCATAGTCATGTAATGTATGGTTCTCGTCGTTTGAAGATCTAGTAAGCTCCTCTTTCACGTGCAACTATTATCAACGAAGTACGTAATGTCTGTGCGTTCATCTAGTTCACTAATAGTACGAACATTGCAGGTAAAAAGTGGTCGTACATTACGGAAAAACACGTAAAACGCTTACTGAATATCCCCTCCCCAAGCGCGTTTCTGATGCACTTGTTAATACACATTTAAAACGAAATAAAATCTTACTTGTCATTTTTGTTCCCTTTTGATACCTAAAACATTACTCGTTAAAACATTCCTATAGTATAGATTACATGGTTTCATTTACACATTTTAAAAACTTGTGAACTTGTTAAACTTTTTCAACACCTGTATCCACCTTACAAGAAGTAGTAAATTAAAATATAAATCTCCATTACAAATCCATTGAAATTAACTGGGTGTTCCTTGCGTAGATAGTATATAAATATAATGAATATAAACTTTATTGACTAAGTCGATCGTGCAACAGATATTGACTTCAGAAAAATATTTCTAGTGTCTTGAAAGTGAGAAAGCAAATTAAAATTCTCTCAATCCTTCTTTATCCGCTATTACAAAGCAAGACGCGAGTGTTAACCTGTGTTCGATAAAACGGAATTTGAAAATCCAAGTGAAGCAACTTGAAGTCTCTAGTCGTAACTGAGGCTTCACGACTGAACAGATTGCGTTAAATCAAGCTAAAGATATGCCCCAATCTTTCTGTGCCCGTTTAGTAAATTAGTTCGCACAGTTAGGTTGTAGCCTCTGAGCATCACGATTTTACCAAGTTAAATCGATCGACGTTCATTGCCTATTCTGCAACACTAAGAGTTGAGCTTCTTCCCGATATAAGGTCGATAAAATGCCTTTAAAATGTCGAAAATAACAACTATTTCGAAAGTAATTATATCTAATTCAGCCATACTTCCGTTTCACCAATAGAGTTGGTGCACATGAAAATACACAGTACTTGGGAATTTGGTAATTAGTTTTGCTTGTGCTGTTAATTATCTTGAGTATAATTAGTCAATTTTGTTTTTCGATGAACATCTTGAAGTTATTACCTTGATGAACATGGAATAACGTGCCGTAACGATCCTGTGTCATCCTACAGAGAATGAGGCGAGCTAGGCAAATGTACACGCCTTGCACACAAAATTCCGAACTGAGCTTATATTCCCATTTTTCGTATTGAAAAACTATCGCAACATTAGGATAGACGCATTTTCAAAGCATATTCTAATAAAGAATAATCGTTGCTGTACCACACTGTATAAGATAATGTGTTACGAGGTACATGTAATTGTAATGTTAAGGTCATCATAAAAGGATTGGTTCTTTTGAATTCGAAAATTACCAGAATCTACGCAAAAAATTGCCAACTCAGAAAAACGGAAGAAGAAAGTGTTTCATCAAAAACCTTCCACTACAATATCGCGTCACTTTGACCTAATTAGCCAGTTCATTCTCAATTTCTTCTGAATCGTTAGGGTGGGAGTATAGAGGTTGTGGTTTTTAGGGAACGCACAGATTTTTTGAGGAATCTTAGAGATGAAGCGGATTGCCGGTGGGTCTTGCGGGTCGTGTTGGGAGTGTGTCGAGTCGGGTCGTGTTGGGAGTGTGTCGAGTCGGGTCGTGTTGGGAGTGTGTCGGGTCGGGTCGTGTTGGGAGTGTGTCGGGTCGGGTCGTGAGGACGGCAGGAAGACTGCCGTACCACTGCAGCGCCATTTCCACTGCTGGAGAAAGGAGAGGCGCGGGACGCGGAGGGCGGCGCTGAACGTCTCCGCGAAAGGCATCCTCGTCTCCGCTCGCCAGCGGCTGCGCGTCTTGACGGACGACGTTCTTGACCCGAATCATCAACCCGCGGACGAATTAATACCCGCCTTGCGCCAGCCGCTCGCTCGAATTATCCGACGGTTTGCGCTAGTGCTTTCACCGGATGACGAGGACGCCGACGCGCTATGTGGCGCCTGTGCTAGCTGGCTGGATTGGAAACGCCTGTCGTAGATCATGGTTCGTTTCTGTGAGAATGTGACGTGCTAATTGTTGACGACAGGTTGATTTACAAAGGTATTTCTCGTAGTTATTGGTCATACAAGGGATTTAATTGCAAGATTATGTACTTTGTGCTTAAGAATTTGATCAGTAAACTGGCAATTTTCGTAGTAATTTAACATTTATATAAATATTTACTGTGCTTTCTTTTAAGAATTATTAGATTAACTTATTTATTTCGGGAAATGTTTGCATATTCCACTAATATATCAAATAGTGTTTTCGAAGTTTTGTTGTGTTGACACGAATTAGTTTTAAGGAATTTTTGTCATTTTTACAGATTCCCTTTACTGGTGCCAGCATGAACCCCGCCAGAACATTCGGACCTGCTGTTGTGACCGGCTACTGGGATAACCATTGGGTAAGGCATTGTTTCGACAGAGTTGGTTTACAAAGAAAAATTGCTGTCTAGTATTGCTCTTATACTAAACAAATTGTCTTTTAGTTCAAATATGGACGAAAAGTGGTATTTAAAATTCTGATCAATTAGAGCCATTCAATTTATGAGAATGTTGACATATTAAGATTTCTAAGAAATGATACACAAAAAGCATCTATTATGCATTTAAACGAATATACTTATATATGACTTTTGAAACGTCTTGTACTGTGTGAGTGTGTTGTGCACGTGCTATACTTTGCATTACAATTATTTAATAAATTTGTTTGAAAAAATTGTTTCAACATAAGGAGTCTCTATTTTGAATATATTTCTAAATCAATATAACATAAACATGTCACACGATTTTCTTAATCTGGCACACCCACTGGAGACTGATAGAGTACTCTTGTTTCGTTGACGTCCACAGAGCTGACGTCCCACGTTACCCTTTGGCGGCTCCGCTGAACCTTCGGTTACTTCTCGAATGCCCAGTAGTAGTCATTCGCGTGTTTTTTATTGCTGTCTGCACAGATTTTCTCATGATCTTCCTTTTCATTCCTGGTTTCATAAACGACAAAGAATCATACTTTAAAAATCCTCTTCTTGTCAATATTTCTCCTCTGTTTTTTGAATAAACATTAAAGAGCATTGATTTCAGCGATATTAATGGAACCAGCTTAGGTCAGAATCTGAACCGCGTGTCATCACCGGAAACTGCTTTGATTACAACAGTAGTTCACTCACTTATCGCTGCTAGTGGAACAGTTATCACTCGAGTCGTATTTCGCTGTAATTCAATAGCTGACGCTTTCTACGTAAGCTACTGAAAAGTCCATGCCAAACGTTTATCAATATGGCTGTTATCAGCGATTACCGGATTACAATAGTAATCCACTGAAGGGTGAAGGAAAGGGTGTGGTTGTGCGTGTATTGAGGCTCACGCCGCCCGGCGCGCACCGTGTGTTCGCAGGTGTACTGGGTGGGCCCCATCGCCGGAGGCGTGGCGGCGGCGGCCATCTACAGGTTACTCTTCCAGGCGCGCAAAGGTGAAGATGAGGCCAGCTCCTACGACTTCTAGGTGGCCTGGCGCCCCCTGCGGCAACGGTCTCCTTTCTCCTTCCATCTCCTCCTCCCCCACCCCTCCACCCATCCCTCCATCGCCATTTCACTCCCTTGTTCATACTCCGCCACATCGCCATCCGATCCGTCTCCCAGCACAGGGCGTTCAGCAACTTTCTGGAGAGGTCTTGTCAATCTCGGTTTTGAAGTTTGCGAAAAACCAAAGATGTAGAAAAAAATATTGCAACTATATTGCAATAAATTGTCGTGGATAATGACAGTTGCAGAAACTATTGTAAAAACTCAACATTTTGTTTGTTGCAATGGAAATATTGTTATATTTATTCGCTACTTTTTAAGTTAAATTATCCGTCCAACTAGGGTCTCGACTCCATTTTGTTGTTCAGGACATTACTTGGGAATTTAAAAATAGTTATCTCAAGATTCCTAAAAACAATATTGTATTAATAGCGGATAGGACAAGTAAAAATTGTTAGACCACAATTTGTGTAAATAATAAGAATGGTACTTTAATTTTGTATACTAAACTTTTTAATGGAGTAAATACCTCTATTCACGAAGGAAAATATGAAAAGTGTAATTTATTAAAAATACATTTCCATTATTTTTGTCAAAGTATCACTTTTGGGGGATTAAAATCTCAGATAATGGTGCTTTATTTCGCTCTCGAAATTCCAAATAATCTATAGTAAATTGCGTGAAAAAATCAAAAGATGTAAAGGATACTTACAACTTTTACACATTACCTACAGCAGATTAGTTCGAGGTACATTTCTTCTATCTGGGTCGCAACGCAATTCCTGAAGAAAACAACAATATACATTGATTAGTTTCAAATAAATCTGTGAATTTATAAGATACTTGTTCTTAAAAATAATATCTCGCTTAGCTTGCTTCCAGTCACAAGAAGCCTGAAGGTTCTCGCCGCGCAAAACGAACACTTCGCGTAGTGGAGAAGCAGCCGTGAGAGTAGAGTCGAGACAGTACTCACGCGTGTGGAGCGAGTAGCCCGGCGCGTGCGCACACGGAGCACTGGTCACGCCCAAGTCACCCCACAAGGAAAGGTCAGAGGTAGAGGTGGCGGCGGCGGCGGCGGCAGTGCCTCCGGCACAGGTCCCGGCCGGCACGCCCACCGACCGCGCTGCTGTGCCTGCAGCTTCCATGTCGCGGTTGGCCTGCCATACAAAGCGTCCCCGCAAACTTGACTTAACCTCGACTTAGCGTTAGAGATAAACGTTCGATTTGGTATTCAATCAAGGGAGCAATGAAGGCTTCATACAAAACTTACCGTTAAACCATAGTTTCTATTTTGTTGATATTGGTGTGCTTAATACGATTGGATGCTGAAGTTGTAAACATCATTCGTACAGTGTGCAAAGTTAAGGTTAATGTTAAATTTAATGCAAGGTGTACTGAAAGATTCACGATCTTCATCGTTAAATTGAGGTTAGTTTCGTTGTGGGCGATGTTAATATGAAAGATTGTTTGATTGGGGTTGCCAACGGTATTTCAATTAGGCTGGTTTGTCAAGCTCACTCAAAAAAGCTTGTACCGCGTTAGTGCTTCCGAGAATAAGAACGGCCCTTGACAGTGTGTTGCTTTTTGCGTTCTGTTGTATCTGCCTAAAGAAGACTTAACGAATATCGTGAAAATGAGGTATTTGCATCAGCAAATACTCACTTCTTAATGAGTTTTCTTTAAGTTTTTCTTCGAACACTAAGTGTGGACATAAACATTTCATTCATCGGGACTAAGTGAAAATAATTTCAGATAGTTTAAAATATCGTGTCTATTTTCGAAGATTTTTGTCTGCTGAATTTACTTTAACCTAAACCATTGGTATTACTTTGTCAGAATATTTGGGTGTTATTAGTTCTAAATAAAATTAGGTGTAGGTTTGTAATAAAATAAGGTATTATCAAACTGAACGACCTCTCCAGAAAGTTATTTCCCTGTAATGTCTTGCCAAAATGAGTCTCATAACTTGTAAGAATACTGTGTTATATTGAATACAGTTTTTGTAGATAAATATATTTTAATGTGTTTTCTTTTGTGTGCAATTGTGATTGTGTAATGGTAGAATAAGGTTAAAGAGATAGAAAATTACATGTGGAAGATAACTGTTAATTTGTAGTGTGGTTGCATGTTTTTGTATGAAAGTTAAGAAAATAGCAACAGCATGCTGTATTTTGTGGAAATCAAGGTTGGATAGTTATATTTCGGGCTAGCATGTCCATTTTCTTTCATTTATTAATTGTAATGAAACTGCAGAAAGGACATATTACTTCTGAACCACGATTATATAAACTACTGTATCATAAATATTTCATAAATATTATGAACTTCATGTTAGATTCTTAGATTGCACAAGTAGTTTAATTCTTTCTTAACTAAAATATTTGACTAAGTTTCTTTAAAATGCTGCAGAGGCTAATTTAACTTGCTTTGCATGAATGCTAGAGATCTGTCTTTCGAAAGGTCTCATTTTCTGTCCTCTTGTTTTGCAGCATCAAAGTTTAAAAGTAGTCAAGTGCCTAGGCGTTCATATGAATATCAGGTGTGTTGGAAGAAATATTTCATAAGTTTTCTATTCACTGAAACTGATACGACTGGCTAATTTCACGGTAAAATTTCTAAGTGTAGTGATAAATTTAATAATCTGGTAATGCGTATTTGAATTTAAAACATTTTACGCTCTGTTTAAAAGTAAAGGTATTTAATATCTAATGTTATACTTTCATGCTGCATTTTGAAGACGAGGACTGAGGGTATGTATGCTTTTGGGCTCTTGTATGTTTGTATGTGAATGTGTACGTATTGTATTTGTAAGTAATAAATGCTGTTGTGTACCTTACGCTTCTCATTATTTTTCTATGTAATTTTGCCGTTTCCTTGGAATTCATGGTTATGGATTACTAAAATGCTTTCAGAATATTTAGAAGTCGAAGATTGCTGAGTTTTTTTATTAAAAGGTGGCGTAGGTTAAAAACCTTATTTTTCTGTAATGCAACATTTGGCATCTTAATTTAAATAAGCCAGAAACTGAAATCATGTGTGGTTTTCATAGAAGTGTTGCTAAGTCATTTTGTATTCTGTGGTTAAAACAGTATAGTGCAAATGTGTTTTCCGCACAGGTGATGAGCCTACAGAGCCGGTTTTTACAAAGACAACAAGAAGCGTACCGGAAGAACAAGCGCATCACATCTAATGAGGAACCGAAGTTGATTTTATTTCCTTCATCAAGATTGTGTCATCTCGCAGAAAAACATTCATTTTTATTATTCATATACATCGTTACTTGCTAGTCACTTTCTTTAAATGAGCTTTATATCTCATTTATTACCTTCACTGTAAATATAAACATCAAGCTTTCTTGTCATTCACGGAAAGATTGCTGAACGGAACATACAAACAGTTTTGAATGGCATTCAAAACAATTTTATGTAAAACAATTTTCAGCAAAAAATCAAAAGTGAATTTCTAATTTCTATTCGTAAATCCATTAAACATTAGATTGTTCATGGAATTAATGTAGTACATCCATCATTTAGAACATGAAATTTATATTGGTCTTCTTACTTGGAGACAAGTAATAAACGTTGAAATGTGTTAAACCTCTTGCATTATTGTGAAATAAGCTCACTTTTTACTATTTGTAATATGTGTAAAAAAAGTGTTAAAATTTAAATGTTGTTAAAGAATCAATCGTGCAATTTGGCATTATGCTGGTAAAAACAAGGTTTCGAAAGTTTTAAGTTCCTGTGTATTTCATCAGATTATTGTAGCAGGGAACATGCATACAAAGTAATATTACAATGCAACGAGCTTTTTGTGCATTGAAACTCAATTTTTCATCGAATATAAAACAATTATCACACGAGTACCTCAAAAATGTATGGAATAGAACACTGTTATTCAAAGTGCTTAAAGATGCATATTCCTTGATATGTACCTTTCTCCTTTTTATAGTTAAATAAAAATAATTAATTCTTCACTAAACAAAAATATTTCAATCCCTTGCCCTAAATTGTTAGTGTACGCACAGCAAAATGAGTGGAGTTCTGCAGGTTGTAAAGAAAGCATTGCGTTCTCGTAATATGAAATTAATTGGCAATGTAATTAAAATATTATAGACCTTCCATGCAAACATCGGTTGGAAATCTAAAAATTGTATTTAGTTATTGGATCAAAAATCACTAGAAAAATATGATTATTGAAAAATTATAATTGTAATGAGCATGACAAAAAAGTAGAAAATCTTATTACTTATTCAACTGAAAACTGTCAAGAATAACCAGAGGTAGTTAGTTTCACGTATAGCTGGTACAAATAGTTTTTACAATGCGCATAGCAGACTTCTTCAGCTTAGTCTTTCCGAATCCTTCATAAACTCTAGTGCATGATTATCATCGCTGCTCAAATACGGATACGAAGAGCTTTTGTTGTCACATTAGCGTCCATAGCAGCTTCCCTTCATCTCATTTTTTGATTTGGTGAACATAAGACTACGATACACAAGCGCACTTTAACGGACGTTGAAGTGCGTCCGTTGCAGTTTACATTATACGAATGAAGCGTGACACAAGAGCTCGCTACACGACGTCTGTTGTACTCTACACATGTGCCCGAGTACTGACAGGCCGTTGCACGACGGTCGGGTGCCCGCAACCTAAACATTCTGATGAAATCATCCTTGTAAAAGTTGCGTAATAGGTGTGATGGCGACCAACTATCATGTATGATTATAAATGTAACAAAATACGTATTTAAATCCCTGAACACAACCACTCTGCGCCCCATAACTGTCTATAAGATGACTACTATACGATGATCGCCTGGTTCATCATTGTTTACAGGTTTATTGGAAAACTGGCACACGATTGATAACAATGGAGATGCAGAAAAATTGTGAGTACAGTACTTCAAACCCGTAACAATTGTAAATGTGTTTGTGCAAATTGAGAGGAGGGGAGATTGACTGTAGCGTTTGCAATGTTCGTCCTTTGCCATACGCTACGTTGACGCCCGATAAGTAACGCGCGTTGTTAGTTAACACTCTATCTTATGCGGAACGCCCAAAGCGCTCGTGTGCCGTTTAGCTGTGTTCTTCTACGACGCGTGTTACGTAATGCAACGTACTCGGAGCATGTTATGAGTCCTTTTAGTCTCTGTAAAATGGACGTAAGCTGCACCGTGACATTGATACGATTTGAATCTTGAAAGATGATTGATTTGTACGGCTTTCTTCGTCTTAATACCGCTTGCCGCTACCGAGTATGTTTGATGCCCCAGGTTTGAGGACCTTGGGTTTTATCGGATTGTCGCTCGAACGCAGCCACTCTTGGCCACTAAAACTCCACCGCTCGTACGATTTAAAATGTAGATAGGAAGCTCTTTCCACAGCAAGGTATTACAAGGTCTGAGATTGATCATATGAGAGATGCAGTACACATCAATGGATCAAGCGAATCTGTTCTGAGTTTCCCCTAAACCTGGAACGAAAGAGAAACCCAACTGGGGGCCCGCCCGAAATAATCCAGAAGGCTAGGGGTGCCCGACTCTTCTCCCACTCCGCCCACAATGTATCGACGAACAACTCAGGAAAAAAAGTGATCGTTTCTATTTCTCTACCAGAGCTGAACCAACCCCAACGCTCTTCGACATTGCAGAAAGAAACAAAAGGCTTTGAAAACCACCTATCACAACACAGTTACCAAAGTCTATTTCTGATTATAAAAAACAGCAAACGGTCCGCAGTCAGAGTTAAGTGGTGTCTAGAGTAGAACTGGGAGAGTCAGCAACGCTGCGCCGTCGCCGCCCGCGGCGGTTCAGCGATCGACCTTTCTCCGAGAGCCCCGTGCCGCGCCGCGCCGCTCGCCACGGGCGTTTTGCTGCTGCCGCCGCCGCCGGCGCAGCCACCGCAGCCACCGCAGCCACCGCAGCCACCGCTGCCACAGT